GACAGCTTGAGGTTCTATCTCAAAAAAAAAAGGAAAAGAAAAAATGTTGACACCTAATGATCAGTTCTCTTGGGGAATGTTTTTCTCTTTTAAGACTTTGTTTTATTTGGGACAAGACATATGGGTGGCTGTAACCCAGAGCAGATGCTAGGAAGGAGGTAACAAGCAGTCATTGTGGGCTCCATTGCTGCTGCCCTGTGGGCAGGGGGAAGCATGGCAGGCAGAGGCAGGGACCAGCCCCCACACCTCTGCTGCTCCATTTCTCCTCAGATTTCATGAATGTCTACTACCAGATTCGCTCCAGCCAGCTGGACCGCTCCATCAAGGGCCTGAGGGAGCATTTCCGGAAGAGCAGTTCTTCCTCTGGGGTTCCTTACTCCCCTGCTATCCCTAACAAGAGGAAAGACACACCCACCAAGAAGCCAGTCAAGCGGCCAGGTGAGACCCCATTCTGGCCCATCTGTGCAACAGCTAGAGGGCTGACTGGGACCTACATTGCCTTTGTCTACCCTTGGCTTAGCAGCACCAGCCTCCAGAGTTTGGCTTCATGGTAAACCTAAGTGTAGTACACAGGACAGAAAGCAACTGTCTACCTGCCAACAGGTCCTCCCTTCCAGCCAGCAGAGTCCAGGGATCACATAATATCTTTGGAGAGGGAGGTCACAGAAGTGCTGTTACCTGTCCTGAGGCAAGGTGACAGGGTCCATCAGGGCAGAGCCACTAGCTGTGCCCCTTTTCTCTCACTCTATTGTCCTTTACAGGCCAGGCATGCTGCTGCGGCCACTACAGTGGGATAGAAGAGGGGTGGGCATGCCAGCCTTCCACTTCCAGAAAGTCAGAGCAGGCAGCTTGAAGTGACATGTAGCTGAGGGGTAGATGAGGGAGAGTTTACACTTCTCCTGTCAATCCAGGAAGTAAAACAAGCCCAGACCATCTTCTGAGGAGAACTTAAATGGGCACTCAGACTGCAGAGCAGTCAGTGCCTTGTAGAGAAGTCAAGGAAGGGGCATTGAGAGAGGTCTGGGCCATAGGTCCCGGGTGTCTGGGGTGAGCAGCTCACTGTCTGTCCTTTCTCCCTGTCATCACCTCCCTGTAGTCTCTGCTCCAGGTAAACAGTGTCTCTGTGTGTCAGCCACAGCTTGGCAAGCCTGGCTGCCTGTGGCTGCCGAGGAAGGCTGCCTTGGCTCAAGGAGAAGCTAAGACATTCCAGGGTGGGAGCTGCTGAGGTAGCGCTGGGAGGGGAAGCCAGAGAAGCCGGGGGCTGCTCCCTCCTAACCCCACTCAGCTGGTACTACAGGCACACACCCCAGGTATGACCTGTGGGACCCTCCTCTTGTTCTGTTTCTTCAGTCCCTACTTGCCATGCCCCTCAGGGAACAAGGTGTCTGTTCCTACAAAGGCTCCTCCTTGGTTTTTTGTTAAAGTTTGGAGAAGCAGTAGGGGGGTACCCTCAAGGGCACAGTGAGACGAGCATTAGGGGTACCTTGTGGTGTCTCAGGCCAGTAATCCTAGCACTCTGGGAGGCTGAGCTGGGAGGGTTGCTGAAGCTCAGCTCTTTGAGACCAGCCTGAGCCAAAAACGAGATCTTGTCTCTACTAAAAATAGAAAAACTGATTCAGGGCTGGCCCCATATGCCGGAGGTAGCAGGTTCAAGCCCAGCCCTGGCCAAAAACTGCCAAAAAGAAAAAAACAATCTTTATGGGTGGCGCCTGTGGCTCAAAGGAGTAAGGTGCTGGCCCCATATACTGGAGGTAGTGGGTTCAAACCCAGCCCTCGCCAAAAATTGCAAAAAAAAAAAAAAAAAAACTGACTTAGCACCTATAGCTGAATAGCAAGAGCACCAGCCACATATACCAGAGATGGCGGGTTCAAATCCAGCCCAGGTCTGCCAAACAATGACAACTATAACCAAAAAATAGCCAGGCGTTGTGGGGAGTGCCTGTAGTCCCAGCTACTTGGGAGCCTGAGGCAAGAGAATTGCTTAAGCCCAAGAGTTTGAGGTTGCTGTGAGCTGTGATACCACGGCACTCTACCCAGGGAGACAGCTTGAGACTCTGTCTCAAAAAAATAAATAAAAATAGAAAAACTAGCAAGCATTGTGGCAGGTCCTGTAGTCCCTGCTGCTCGGGATACTGAGGCAAGAACTTTTGAGCCCAAGAGTTTGAGGTTGCTTTGAGCTATGAGACCATGCCACTCTACCCAGGGCAACAATGTGAGACTCTGTCTCAAAAAAAAATAGAGTACACAAGCAGGACACTCACTGCCTGCTTCCTCCAATGTGGGTGTCCTGGCTGATCCCCTGGAAAGCCTGCTGCAAAGAGCGACTCTACTAACCCAGCTTGTTGGGCTGCAGCTGCCTGCGCGGCAGCAGGCACACCGCTCTGCCTCTGGGGTGTGGGGAGCGGCTGTCTCCAGGGGCTGCGAGGCTGCCTGGGCCTTGACCGGTCTGTGCTCACCTCCTCTTCTGCCTCGTTCTCTGACAGGCCTTCTTCGGGGCCTAGAACCCAATTTGCCCTGCCCCAGAAGTGCTTGCTAGCCACACAGGGACCCAGCCTTTCAGAAACGAGGGATCTGATCTCAGGGGGCTCAAAGTAAACCCAAACCACCCTTGGTTCAGAGCTCAAGAGGGAGACTCTCCAGCTATGAGAGTCCCATTGTTTCTGTGGGTTATCAAGAGTTGTCAGGAGCTAGTGGTCTCAGGCCTGATGTCAGGGCCTCGGGGAATCGGGCTCTCTCGACATTGGTTCCCAGCTCTGAGGAGAAATCCAGGGAGGCCTCACTGGTGAGGAGACACCAGCCTCAGCATTGCTGGAGGTAATTGGGTACCTGATGGGTTTGGCACCTGGCAGCTCAGCACCCTCATCCACATCCACGTCCACATCCTGGTTGGCGTCTATGGGGCCAGTGGCCCCATGTGCTCCTGGCCGGTTACAGGACAGGAATGTGATTTGCTCGTTAGCCAGGCTGCTTACTGAACAGGGAGCATATGGGGGGGGGGGGCAGGTGTGAGCCAGGCCGCCAGACTTAGTCATTAGGAGCTAATTGGTGTGGTGCAGACTGAGATGAGCCTCCCAGACCCTGTCCTTTTCTTCCCTCAGCCTTTTGGGGAGCTGCCAGGGCTCAGCAGCATCAGTGTGTTCAGATATGCAGTGGGGGGATGGATGAGAGTTAAGCTCGTGGGCACCTCTGCTGCTCCCAGTACACTTTGTTAACAAGGCAGCTGCCCTTGTCTACTTGAAATGCTGTTTTATTTCCCCATGTCTTCTGCCCTGAGATGTCTTATTTCCATAGAGATGGCTGACCCAGGAGGCTGTGGGCACTACAGTTTTGTTTTTATTGTTTTCACTTGTGACACTAACTGTTATTTTTTTCCCCCATGCCAAGAGCATGTACCCTTTCCCCTGCTCTCTGTGTGGTGGCTTCTGTTAACCTCTTGTTGGCTTTTGAATTTTTTCCAGTTGCTTTGGTGGTTTGGGGAACACCACTGGCTCATGGGGCCAGGCTGCCTCTGTGTCCCTGAGCCTTCCTTCCTGGGCACAGCGCTTCTAGCACACTCATTCCCGTTTCACCACCTCCCAGGCTCTGCTTCCTCTTGCCTGTTCTTGGCCAAAGTCTCAACACTGAGCACGCCCGGACAACTCTGGCTGAGTTTGGGGCTGGGCAAAGGTGGCCCAGGCTCTGCCAGCCTCCTGGTGCCCTCTGTGTGTGAGAGCTTTGTCACTAGCTCCTCCATCCTGGGCCCTTATCTCTTCTAATTAAAGGGCTACTCTGGTGGCAGTTTGACCTTTTCTGGTAAATCCTCTTTCCATAACCCTCTACGTTTTCTAAAATGAACTGAAATCCAGAAGGATGAGGGTCAATAGAGAATCAAAGGCTCCATCTGGAGCAGAGATGCTTCCTTTCCTTCATTCTTGTCCCCTGGGCCCGCAGTAGTCCTGGGCCAGGGCCTGCTCACTGTGGGAGGGCCGGGTGTGGGCCTGGGGCAGGTGGAGGGCCGCTGCTGTTTTCTCTCACTCATTTCCTAGGTCTTCTTATCTCCTCTCTGTGTGGCTCTGGTGACAGGGACGATCCGTAAGGCTCAGAACCTTCTGAAACAGTATTCCCAGCATGGTCTAGATGGGAAAAAGGGGGGCTCTAACCTCATTCCTCTGGAAGGTAATCACCCCGTGTTCTCCTCCTGTTCCCTCCTCCTCCGCTGTGTGTTGCTCACTTGGCAGGGCAGAGCCTCCCCCAGGAGGGCCTCAGGGAAAACCCTCAGGGGAGCAGGGTGGGGACAACAGGTCCCTGATGCCACTTAGGCTTCAGCGGGCACAGGGGCAGGTTTTCTGGCCCTCGGCCTGGTCCTATCTGGCTGATGGCAGCTCTGCCCTCCCTGGGGCTTCCACTCCTCCCCTCCTTGTCTCTGTCCTTGTCTCCTGTGTGAACTCAGAGAAAGTCCCTTGTCTTGGGGCAGCCCTTTCACGCTCAGACCAGCAGTATCAGGACCTAGCTGTTCAAGGCCTCCTGGCTGTCTCCTCTTTAGAAAAGGGAGTGTATACACCAGGGGACAGGGGCCTGGAGAGGCCTATCCCTCCCTACCTCCAATATAAGGGACAGCCAATTCAGCTGCCCGAGGACACCAAAGAAGGTTGTCCCCTTTCAGCAGTGACATTTCTCTAACTGGGGCTCTCCCCAGATATGGGGAAACCCCCTGGGTCTAAACATCAGACCCTCTGCATCTTACAAAGGTCTTCAGACACTCCTTGGTCCTTCCTCATGTTCCCTCAGCCTTAGGCTTGGGAAAACAAGCAGCCAAGGATGGTCCCAGGCACTCACTGGAAGTCAGGCTTGAAACGGCTGTTCCCAAGGTGATTTGAGGCAGAAGAGGGGCTCCGAGCCTTCCCTGATGCCCCCCTCCCTACACCCACCTCACATCCCCCTCCTGGAGCTGAAGGGCTTCTTCCCCGTACCCCGAGGGGTAGCTGCCTGGCCCTTGGATAAACGCTGCTTGTGTTTGTGCGGCCAACGTCTCGCCAGGTCACGAGCATGATTTCCGAGTTAAGCACCTGTCTGAGGCCCCGAACGACAAGCACGGGCCACTGGCTGGTGAGTATGCAGCCCAGCCCAAGGGCCGCCGCTGTCACTGCCTTCACAGCAGGTCCTAAACGGCTTGCTCCTGCCTGGCCCAGAGGCCCACTCGGTGCTGAGGATGGGCCAGGCCTACTTGCCTCTCTCGCCATCCTCTCTTGGGCATCAGGACTCTGCCTCTGTGCAGATGGGAGTGACTAGCTCTCAGGGCCTGGGCCGAGAGGAGAAGCTGCTATCGCTCAGAAGGCAGGCAGGCAGAGAAGAAAGGCGGTTCCCTTGAGGGCAGAGGCCCTGACATCTGATTCCTGCAACAATTCCACAGTTCTGACCCTTGGAGCCTGTCCCTTGGCATGTAGGACCAGGCTGTTTTATCTGCAGGTTCCCCTGCCCTGGCCTCCATTGGTGGTGGGATCTAGTCTGCTCCTGAAGCAGCTGGCAGCCAAGGAGCCCTCCCATGCTGGGGCTTGCTTCCCTTTCCAGAAGCCTCCAACGCCATGGCCCACTATCCTTTTGTATATTCCAGAAGGCCTGACTAGGCTGGTAATTGCCTTCACAGGCCCAGCATTTTCCTAGATAGATGACCACAGTGTCCGCCTCCTGGGGGCAAGCAGTGCCACCTGCCCACCCCAGGCTTCCCCCTTTCAGGTACAATTAAGAATTCTTGGGGCGGCACCTGTGGCTCAAGGAATAGGGTGCTGGCCCCATGTGCCAGAGGTGGTGGGTTCAAACCCAGCCCTGGCCAAAAAAAAAAGAATCCTTGGACCTGGGGTCAGACCTGCCATATCCGGGAAATTAATCTAGGGATCTCCTTCCTTATCCTTTTATCCCTCTCCCTGCCACCTCTAGAATCTGATGCTCTAGGGGCAAATACTATCTGTGGAGAGCTGAAAATGAAGCCAAGACAAAGGCTGCGCTCAGCTCCTGTTTTTCCCCTTGAACCTGCTGGGGCCTGCTGGGGCCCTCACAGCTTTCGGCCTCTTCGCCATCTGCTGTGGGTCTGAGCTACAGGCCAGGAGCTAGGGAGACTCACACCCCTCAGCAGGGAGAGTGGCTGTCCCCAGACCAGCATCTCAGGGGCTCTGCTGTCTCCCCAGGGAGAGATGACATGCTGGATGTGGAGACCGATGCCTATATCCACTGCGTCAGTGCCTTTGTCAAACTGGCCCAGAGCGAGTACCAGTTGCTGGCTGACATCATCCCTGAGCACCATCAGAAGAAGACCTTTGACTCCCTGATACAGGTCCTGCCATATCCCACCAGTGAGAGCTGTCACCAGAGTCTTTTTCTTTTTTTTTGAGACAGAGTCTCACTTTGTCTCCCTCAGGAGGCTGCCCGAGCATCATAGCTAACAGCAGCCTCAAACTCTTGGGCTCAAGATATTCTCTTGCCTCAGCTACTTGAGTAGCCAGGACTACAGGCACCTGCCACAACACTTGGCTGTTTTTAGAGACATAGTCTTACTCTTACTCAGGCTGGTCTCTAACCTGTGAGCTCAGGCAGTCCACTTGCCTTGGGCTCCCAGAGTACTAGGATTATAGGCATGAGCCACCATGCCTGGCCTATCACCATAGTTTTAAAGCCCTTGACCCCAGCCACCTCCCCCACCCAAGTGCCCTGGGGACCTGCAATGGCTTGATACTCTCCAGCTCCTCACTGCCCCTCTTCTGTCATAGCACACTGGCTTCAACCTGCACCCCATGGAGTCCCTCACCCCCCCCCAGCGCCAGCTCTCACCACTCTGCCTCTCCTAGGACGCGCTGGATGGGCTGATGCTCGAGGGTGAGAACATTGTGTCTGCTGCCCGGAAGGCCATTATCCGGCATGACTTCTCCACGGTGCTCACCGTCTTCCCCATCTTGCGGCACCTTAAGCAGACCAAGCCTGAGTTTGACCAGGTGCTTCAGGTATGCATGTGGGGAGGCCCTTGGGGACATGGGAAAGGGGAATTCTTTTGGTCAACATGGCCGTCCTGCACCCCTCCCTGGTAGAACCCTGTTTTCCTGCCCCCACACCTCTGCTACAAGGTCAAAGGGAAGCAGCTCCTGTAGGGCTCTGGGAAAATCAAGACACTCACGGGGTAATTGGACGGACAGGAGCACGTAGCTCTCGTATGCTACAGAATCTGAGTCCTGGGGCAGGGGCGCAGCGGGAAGGAGTGGTTTCCAGGCCCAAGCTGCCTGGAGGGTGTGCAGTGGTGTCTTCCTCAGGGCACTGCTGCCAGTACCAAGAACAAGCTGCCCAACCTCATCACCTCCATGGAAACCATAGGAGCCAAAGCGCTGGAGGACTTTGCAGACAACATCAAGGTGCCGTCCCTCCCTCCACTCCCAACATGCAATGACCCAGCCCCAGGAACTCCTTCAGAGAGCAGGCCTCTCAGAGGGGCAGGTTTGCCCTGTGAGAAAGCTAGCTGCACTGCCTTCCTCCTGTCAACACCCTTAAGCCCTGCTTTGCTTCCCTGGGGGGTCTGGGTCCCTAAGGAAGCCCCTCTCACTTTTGGTCCTGTCTTGCTCAGTCTTGTACCCAACAGCTGTCCTAACACCTGTCTGCCAGGAGGTGGTGTCATGGGCAGGCTGACTGGGGCATGGGGAGGGCCTGAGATTGTCGTAGGCTGTTTCAGAGACTTAGAGGCTGAGGCTGCTTTTTCCACAGAATGACCCAGACAAGGAGTACAATATGCCCAAGGACGGCACTGTGCACGAGCTCACAAGCAATGTAGGTGCTGCATGAGGACAACTGAGGAGGGGAGGCAGAGGAGGTGGCCTAGAGTAGGCTCTAGAGTCAGTGACAGGGACCCACCCTGGCCCAGAGCAGCTCGTACCTGCATGCATGGCCACTAGTGGCAGTATGGATGGCGAATACTTAGTGTCTGCTGCAGACAGGGTCGTTCCTGGCAGGCCAAAGCCTGAAGGGTGAAAGATGAAGTGTCCAGCCATCTCTTTCCCTAGACTTGCCTAGGCTGGTCAGAGGGCTCATTTTGGCAGGCCGGCAGATTGGTGTTGCCAGTTGACCCTCTGCCTAGACCCTCTGTCATCTCCTCCTGCAGGCCATCCTCTTCCTGCAGCAGCTTCTGGACTTCCAGGAAACAGCTGGCGCCATGCTGGCCTCCCAAGGTACTTGGCACCTCCCAGCTGGTCACCCGGCCCCACTCTCTCACTTAGCCTGGAGATGTGGGGTTAGGCCCCGGGAGGCACTGAGCCCCTCTGGGAGGTGAGAAGGTTTCTCCAGTCTGTGGAGGGGTGAGGTATGGCCTTTGGGGGAAGCCAGGGCTGAACAGGGGGAAAGTGACGTTTGCCTGCACCTTCCATGACTGAGCACAGGCCCCTCCCTTGGCCCCATTGACCATCCTTGCTCTGGGAGCAGCACTAGCTGGTTACAAGGTGTCCTTTCTGCCCCTGCCCCCCACCCAGCTCGCCTTTCAGCAGGTGGCATCTCAGAGCCTGCTAGGGGTCTTTCTAGAAGCCTGTGCCCTGGGACTGGCGTTCTGGAAGTCAGCATGTGAGGAAGAGGCCTTTCCACGTCGGCCTGGGCTCTGAGGCCGTGGGCCCTCCCCCCTCTCCCAATCCAGGGGTATAGGGTCAAGGGATAGCCCCTGGCCTGCAGTTCTCCAGATCTCTACTTTCTGGTGTGTCCCTGGTCTGCAGAGGCTTCTGCCCAGTGTGTCCTGCTGTCTGTGTTCTGACTGTCGTGGGGAGAGGTCTGCTGGACTTGGGTTGACGCGCTGTTTCTAACCTGTTTTTTGCACTTTGCATCTTTTTCCCTCTGTCTCCCTCCATCCCTTCTATGTGCACTGCCTTTCACTCCGTAGTTCTTGGGGACACATACAATATTCCTTTAGACCCCCGAGGTAAGCAGTGTGGCTCTGCAGCCCCACCTTCCCCCTCTGACACCTGGTGGGTGAGGGTCCCTGGGGACCGACTCGCAGGACCTACTAGGGAATAGGGTCAGAGAGGACATGAGTTCTCTCTGGGTACTCCCACCTCTCTGCTCCCTTCTTGGCCACTTTCTGTCTCTGAGCTTATCAAGCACACCCTCAGGGCCAGCACCCTGCACACACCCTGCAGGCCAGCCCAGCCCCTCACTATGTGGCCTCCACTCTATGTGGGCAGCAGCTCTCCTCTATTCAGAGGGCCTCGTAGGGGGCTGTTGGGAGAGTGGGCTTTGGGGAGCCCATTCTAAGACTTGCTGTTGGCAAATGGGAAAAGTGGGCCTTGTAGATACCACCCAGGGTGGGTCAGGTGCCAGGGGCAGGGGTCTGCCAGCCTTCTTGTTGATGTAGGCTAGCCTCATAACACCACCCATCATAAAGGGGTAGCTCAGGGTTCCAGAAGCGTCCAGGGTTGGTGCCCTCTGCAGCAGGATGCAGCCCCATGGCTCAATAGGCAGCCAACTCTGCCTCAGAGATCCTGGGTCCTATCTGCCTGGGGAAGCCCAGAATTTATCCCAGTGTTTCCTTGGGCTACTCCTTGGGCTGGGGGATGGGCCATTGAGAGTCTCAGCTGCCACCACTGCCATAACAGGACTTTTCTTCTCACAGAGACTAGTTCTTCAGCCACCAGCTATAGCTCTGAGTTCAGCAAGCGACTGCTGAGCACCTATATCTGTGAGTGTCCACCCGGGCAGACCACCAGCCCAGTACCTGCTGCCCTGTCTCTTCCCATCCCTCTTTCTCTGCTCTCCAGCTATTCTTGGGTCCTTCCCCTGAGTCCCACCTAACCTTACGAATTGAACCCAACCTCCAGTTCAGACAGTAAGGGGAAGGGGCTGAGGCCTCCTTAGGAAGGACCAGGCGTGATGAACAGGGGTTAGTTAGTGGGTCCTGGATTGGGTCATTTGGATCAGATAGTCATGCTGGGCATGGCCCCATCTTTCCCTAAACAGGTAAAGTCCTGGGCAACCTGCAGTTAAACTTGTTGAGCAAGTCCAAGGTGTATGAGGACCCAGCTCTTAGTGCCATCTTCCTGCACAACAACTATAACTACATCCTCAAGTCCCTGGAAAAGTAAGTGGCCTGGGGCTGTGGGGCCATGGCAGTGCTGGCTGCTGCCCTCCCCAGGCTGCTGTGCCTTCTGCATCCTTCTGTGATCAGGGGTGGAGGAGGCTTTACTCTTGTCCACTGCAGGACCTGGGAGGAGGGTATGCTGCCACTGTAGAGGCCCTGAAGAGCAGGGCAGAGGGAGGCCTCTGATGTTGCTGCAGAGGATGGCAGCCTTTTGGCCCCAGGAACAAATTCTATCTTTGTCTTGTATAACCTGTCCCCCACTCCACCCAGGTCTGAGTTGATCCAGCTGGTGGCTGTGACCCAGAAGACTGCTGAGCGCTCCTACCGGGAACACATCGAGCACCAGATCCAGACCTACCAGCGCAGGTCAGAGGCGAGCCTGCCCCCCTCAACCCACCCCTGTGCCCACCACTCAACTCTTACTTCTCACACCTTAGGACATTGCCCTTTGGAGTGGACTCAGTAATGGGAACTGCTGCCTGTGGGCCCCAACCCTCCACTTGTTTTGTAATCAAATTCATGGGGTAGAGAGAGAAGCCCCTCCTCCCCTTCCACCATGGGCTCCCTTGGGGGCCGCTATGGCTAGTGTCTTTGAGGGTGGTCTGCCAAGTATCAAGGTGAAGAACAGGCTCGGCGCCTATAGCTCAACCGGCTAAGGCGCCAGCCACGTACACCTAAGGTGGCGGGTTCGAACCCCCAGCCCGGACCCGCCAAACAACAATGAC